GCATAGCTGCATGGCCTCACGCCTACTTTTGACACGATCGACGAAGACTAGACATTAAATTACTTTACACGATTAACGAAGACAAAAACCATAGATTAATTGAACCAAATCATAATTATGCACCAAGAATTTCCACTAAAAACTCTCCTTATATGTTAAACATGTAAGCTTCAAAAATCTAATCACTTGCCCAAAAAAAATATTTACTTTCTACTCTCACTTTCTCCATTTCCATCAACAACAATGATCTTCCAAGAAATCATTTACATCCCACGTACATGACTCCAAATCTTCATCCAAAAATCCATTTCCATCTAAAATTTCCATTTCTGGAAAGTCGATATCGTCGCAAAATACTGGCAAAACATCATCCATTAATGGAGAAGGAGACCTGAAATCAAAAAAATCCTTAAGAAAACATTGATCCATTAATGGCAAATTATCATCTAACAAAATCCCATTTTGATCATTTTGCATAACAAATTCCATTCTTTTCCGATCATCCTTCATCTCTTCATTGGTAACTATTTTAGTAGCAGTAACACCAATATTATTGTCATTGTGCCTCAAAACAGAGGTAGGAGAACAAAGATTTTCAGATTCCCCTGTAGAATCATAATCTGAAACTGAAGTGATCACACTTTCTTTTTTCACTGGCGGCTTCATAAAATTAGTCAAAGCATCAGGACCGCGTATTTGAATAGCAGCTTGATCATAAACCATAGCTGCTTCTTCAGCAGTTTCAAAAGTGCCTAACCAAATTCGGGTCTTTTTCACAGGATCTCGAATCTCTGCAGCCCATTTTCCCCATGGCCTCTGCCTAACCCCACGAAATTTCTTAACATTTTCGTTTGTCTTCAAATCCATCATCTTTTTCTTCTTTTTGCTCAAATTTGATGATTTCTTCACATCTCCACAAGACACTTTCTTTTCAAGTCTTATCTCCGTAACATATTTTCTTACTCGTTTTTTCTCTTTATCATCAAAATCGTCATCACTTGAAGAATCAGTAGCATCACAATCAGTGTAACAAATCCGAACAACTTTTGGAGTTAACTTATTCTCATGCTTAGTACTGATAGACCTGTGGACTACACACTTCTTGATACTTTGTGAAAATTTTCCTTCCATTTTTTTAACATGGAGAGTGAGAAAGAAAAGAGTGATTTATATGATAGAAGTTAAAGGGGTGGATGAAAAAATGGAAAGAGAGAGAGTTGGAGAAGAGAGAAAATAAAGGAAGAACAAGTCTTGAAGGAGGAGAAAGTGTAACAGTAACTGATGATGAAATGAATTAAAGAGGGAGAGGTTTAACGACTAGTCAATGAAACCAAAGTGTGTGTGTGTGAGAGAGAGAGAGAAGAGGGAAATGGAACAGAATCAAGAGATATATAGGAGGAAGAAAAGGATGAGGATCCCATTTTTGAGTCTTTTGGTCAAATAATAACTATACTATTATACAGATATTTTCTCTTCCTTTTGGAATTTTCTTGCTTTCTATTTTTTATTAATGAATTTCACCAAATTTATCATTAACTAATAAGTAACGTAATTTTCTTGAGATATTCGGATGGTCCTTTTCAGAAAAAAGATTAAAATATGAAAGCTTTAATTAATTTGAGATAAGGGTGTTTTGGAGCTGATTTTCTTATTATCAGACCAAAATAAAATCACATGTTAATGATAGTAAGATAGAAATTAATTGCATTATTTGAATTGGAGAAAATATGAGTTGTTAAAACAAGTTATTTAATAAAAACCAAGGAAGAATATGAAGTATCATTATAATCGAATTTAGATCAATATTACTTATTTAATAAGAATTGTTTTTCGTTTTACAAATGAAAGGCGGTTAAAACGAATCGCCGCATGGGAGTGTGGGCCTTTGCTAAATGACCTATCGAGTATCGCCTACCGCTCCTTGCCCAGCAAGTCTCTTTTGCTCTTTTGACTGTCCCTACTGTGATATCATTTAATTAAGAAAAAGAATACTTTTAAGGTTTTTTTTTGTACAAAAATATCTACTACTGCATCAATAATGAAGAACATTTGAAAATTATTAATTGTAAAAAGTTTAGCCATAGTTTGAACCTTGTTAACTGGTATAGGAATTAGGCTGATGTTTGAGGGTAGAGGAGCTAGTTCAGAGGGCTGGTATAGTTTGTGTGCTGTAAATATTTCAATTGGTAAATAAAATACTCTACTTACAAAATATATATATATATATATTAGTTCGTATTTTCTATGTAGTTTCTAAACATAAAATTTTACTTACTTTGGCGCTAAAAGTTAAATGTATTAATTAATATACCAGAAGCGAAACTGTCCGATCTCTTCTGATATGAACACGTACCATCACATTGACATTTTTCTGAGACAAAAAAGAATGCGTCATTTTTATTAAAACCTAAGCCTGTAAGAAATTTGGAATCTTATAAAAAATATTCTAAAGATCGACCTATTTTTTGGAATCTATAGTCTTAGACCTATTTTCGACGTGGTTACATCAATATAATTAAGGCAGTGGGGGGAAATTATAGTTGCCTGACCATATTGAGAATGCTGGTGAAATCATTGGGTCACCTATATGTCACCCAAGATTTTTAATCTCACAAACCTTTTACTGAATACTAAACGATTAAATAAATTCTTTGTGCTACTTAAATCATTTGCTTGTCAACCAAACACCTAATCTTCCTATCCCAAGAAAATAGTGGTTTACAAATCAAAACATAAACTGTATTATCACGAGAATGAAGCCTAAACTACTGGTACCAAATGGAGGCTTTCTTATTCCTATGTTAACTACGTAGAAAAATTTCTCTAATATTCAATTTTATTTCATTATTTTTTGTAAGAGTTCCCTATTTTTTGTTGTTATTTTCTTAGTTTAATAGTAATAGGTGTATGTTGTTGGCGGGAATATATGAAAGACATGTGTTGATTTGGTTACCATATTGAATTGTTTAAGCGAAACGTTTCCTTGCTTTTGCACGGTTCCAACTTGACACAACCAAAGGATCCTTTATATTTTGTTGCATACTTAAATTGGTTATCCCACATCATCTTTTATTTGTTACATTTTTAAAAGATATGTGTCTTAATTGCTAATGCTTGCACTCCAAGGTATAAAAGGAATTAAATATAATAGTATATTTTAACTAAACAGAAAGATTAGCCAGAAAAGGGAAAAGAAAAACGAAATCAAATTTACAAACAATAAATCAGCGAGAAGACAAACAGTTGCACAATTTACCAAAAGTCGTAGACGACAGGGCCAAGGTACACCGTCCGGTTCAAATATCAAATTACCATTATACATAGCTGAAATCTTTTCTTTTTTTGGGTACTGGAGTTAAAAGGCTTGGGCCCCAAGCAAAAGCAGACTTAAGAAAAAGAACCAGTTTAAGAATGAAAGGACACCCAAAGTCCCAAATTCAAAGAACATCGTACATGTGTAACAAGTTCTCTTTCATTAAACAAATACTATAATATATAATTTGTGTCTCGTTGCATAAAGAAGCAATACTTGAATTGAAACTTAATACAGTATATACATAAACTAGCAAGCACGTAGTATCTTTTATATGCTTAAAACTTAAATCCGCCTAGAAAGTTTAATACTATATTTTATATGCTTAAAACTTAATTGTAATATCTATATTTCAACATATGACAGAGTAGTAATCTAATAAAAGGATGTAAGTTAGTATCAAAATGACAATATAAAATTTTCTTATAATATCAGTGTAATTTAACATGTAGTAGAAGGTCAATAACTATTTTTGACATGTACCAAATAATGTTTATCAGAAATTTATTAATTCAACTATATTTAAAATGACCTAATTATAAATATATTTCACACCGTCACTTAACTCTTAAGAAAACTAGATATATACCAAAGAGAGGTTTACAATGATTCTTTTGCAGACTAGGGTAGAGAAGAAGAGTGCAGAGATAAATAAACAAAAGTAATTTAACACCAACGGTTACAGATTAATAGTACATGTCAAGTCTCTCGAACAATAAAAGTAAGCTCAATTTTAACTGTTACTATTGTCCCTTCCCTGATCCTCTAATTTTTTTTATTTTTTTTTTGGGTTTTCCACCCGGTGTCCGGTACCCGCATTGGAGCCCAACTATATTCGGATTCGCGCCGTATAGGGCCCCATTCGGGGGGAAGCGCTCCCTACCAAGCATTTTTTCATACCCAAGACTCGAACCCGAAACCTCTGATTAAGGGAGGAGCAACCTCGTCCGCTGCACCACATACTTGGTGATTCTCTAATGTTATTGTTACTGTCAAATAAAAAAAATTAGATCTACTGATTTTTCGGTGCACGTTATTTTCGGATTTCCCTCCTAGTTTCTTAATAAGGTTAAGGTCCCTCATAGGAGAAACTGAAACTGAATTTACCAGGAGGTGTGGTACAATTTTGTTAATTGATATTTTGATTAGAGGGCCCCCTTTTTTGCCTTCAGAGGTATTTTATCATTTCATATGAATACACTCACTGCGACAAAGACATGACTGAAACTTAGAGAAGAGTCAGTTCAATGAATTGGATCATATATCATCTTGCTTCAATGATTGAGTTTGGTAAATGACACCTCAGGTTTAAAATCAATTAGATGGAGAACGCCCACATGGGAACAACCATCACTTTCTAAATTGCCATGACCTGCCTTGAAATATAATTTGATAGCTTCTGTGGGACAATGCTTAATCATCGAAAAGACAAATATTGAAGACCAGAAACACATACATGCACCACCAGAAAAGCAAAAGGTACCAGCAGAGGTAACAGGATCTAAGCTAATCTATTAAAACCAATGTTAACACAAAAACAGAAGAACGAAAACCATACCTGATCAGTTTGTAAAAGATGGTACAGTACAAACATTAAATTACTGCGGTCCAGGCTCATTTATCTGCTTCAAGATTTTTCTTCAACCTTTCAGTACTTGTGCATGGTTAGACAAACTAGATAATAAGAAGATGAAAATATCCCACCTCAGCGGATGGAAGGATAGTTCTCACACGTTATAGAGTGTTTAAGTAACAAACACAACTGGAAATTAAATACAGAAGCTGCAATCCTAAACCAGATAAATAAACACTTCCAGATTTCTTAAAATGTTAAAATCCATATAAAAATATTCAAAGCATCTCTTTTTTCTTGGAGAGGACAACATTTAATGCTATTCTACACTTTGTTGATTGGGAGAGGAGAGAGAACAGGCACATGAATTCTTTTTACATGGACTCGGGCCCTTATATATTTTCTAACCCATGGCATACTTCTGAGTCCAACTCCTGGCAGTTGATTCGTATTTAGCTCTGTCTGTCTTGTACATGTGAGCAATCTCCGGCACCAAGGGGTCATCAGGATTTGGGTCCGTCAAAAGTGAGCAAATTGAAAGCAAAACCTGAAGGCAATACAAACACTTTTCCCAGCTTAAGAAACATATCTATATGACTCCGTTAAAATCAACCAGTTAAACTGGCCAAGGAGAGCTGTTCAAAGAGAATATATTGATCCGTGAAAACAATAGATGACACCATTAGAAACTGAGGCAGGAGTATATTCAGACACTCTATTGAATGGGTCTTATGGACATCTTACATAGAGCTAAACTGTATTCACCAGTACTTAAAGGCTAGAATAGATACCACAAAGAACAAAGGAAAAAGTCCCTATCATCTGTAATATTCTAGTTAAATCATTTCCTTTTTTAAAAAGTAAAATTATTTTTAACCTTCACATTATATAAATTGGCTGATGGTTTTTTTTTAACAAGAAAACATTATATAAATTGGCTGATGGCTTCAAAATCTATTTGCAAGGGCTCTTATCAACCATGACCGTAGCAAGGCCCTAAGAATATATCTGTTTTTTAGCAAGGGCTCTTTAGCTTTTACTGAAGGGAGCCTTGGAACTACGGTAAAGTTGTCTCCATGAGACCTATAGGTTACGGGTTCGAGCTGTGGAAGCAGCCACTAATGCTTGCATTAGAGTAGGCTGACTACATCACACCCTTTGGGGTGCGGCCCTTCCCCGGACCTTGCGTGAATGCGCGATGTTTTGTGCACCGGACTGCCCCTTTTTTTTAAGCTTTTACTACTTGTCAGCGGATAAAAGATAGCTTGAAAGGTAAGAAAGGACCTTGGAAATAGTTAAGGCAGGGCTCCACTGCTCCTTCAATATGTCCAGGCATATACTGCCATTACTGTTAATATTTGGATGGAAAACTTTTGTCCTAAAAGCAACCTGCAAGGATACATCCATAACTATAACACAAGAATGTTGACAAGATATATTATGCACACGTCAGAATTCCACCAAATACTGCCAGATCATATCATGCCCGACATGATGAGTTTCCAAATAGTAGGATGTACATGTATTTTAGAGAGAGAGAGAGAGAGAGAGAGAGAGAGACGTGCGCGCACATGCATAGATAACCATGTTGATATTAACCATGATTTCTTTCCAGAGAAGCTGAATCCTGCACATTCTCAATCCTTCGCCAAGAAGAAATTTGTTCATTCTAAAAAAGCTGTAATGAGTACTCTGTACTGCTGACTTTACAGGCAGCAGGAAGATCCTAATGTTTTTCATGATCCTTTTTTTTTTTTGATGACAAGGTGATCTTCAAACACATTATTATACCAGGGGTGGAGCTATGTAGAGCCAAAAAAGTTCAATTGAATCCGCTTCACGGAAACTAATATTGTACAATGGGGGGCAAAAAGAAATGTATTTGGCTATATATAAATTGTTGAATCCAGTGTTGTGAAAAGCGCTCGCTTCAGCGCTTTAAGCGTGAAGCGAAGCGACGCGGCCACTGAGTCGCTTCTGTAGGGTGAAGCGTAGCAGGTAGGTTGAAGCGTCCGCTTTTGCCAAAAAAGCGAGAAGCGCTAGCGAAGCGAGAAGCAACGGAAGCGCTCACTTTTGTCTTTTAAGAGCCCGTTTGGACATAAGAAATTTTTCCCTTTTTTCCAAAACAAATTCACTTTTTTTCGAAATAAGCTTTTGTTCATAAAATTTCCAATTTTCACTTGAAGATGCATTTTGGAAATTTTCGAAAATTTGAAAAACTCCAAAAAGCTGTTTTTGAAAATTCACTCAAATCACTCACAAAACTTCAAAAACAATCCAAAATTATATTCATGTCCAAACACAACTCTAAGAGCCCGTTTGGACATAAGAAATTTTTCCCTTTTTTCCAAAAAAATTTTACTTTTTTTCGAAATCAGCGTTTGTTTATAAAATTTCCAATTTTCACTTGAAAATACATTTTGGAAATTTTCGAAAATTTGAAAAACTCCAAAAAGCTGTTTTTCAAAATTTTCACTCAAATCACTCACAAAACTTCAAAAACCCCCCAAAATTATATTCATGTCCAAACACAACTCTAAATTTCAAATACCATTTTCACTTGAAAAAAAATTTCCCCCTATTTTGGAATTTTGCAATTCTTATGTCCAAACGCCCACAAAGTCACTGATAAACAAAAAAGCTCAGTCTTTTTTTACAAAATCAGCGAACAACAGAGCAAGCAACGACTAGTGTTGCATTTTTAAAGCCCAGGTATGTTTGCAGCGACTAGAGTTTCAATTTTCAAGCCCAGGTATGTTTTCTTCTTCTCCTCCTACTCCTAAGTCCTTAAAATTGCTGCCAATTTTTTTTTTCCTTCAGTTCTTCATCTTTTGTTCTTAGTCACACTGCCAATTTTTTAGTATTGGCAGTTAAATGTGTTGTATGCAGTTACATGTGTAACATGTGTTGTCTATGCAGTATTTATTTTAATATTTTTCTTAATTCCGCTTCACTTCAAAAAAGCGAGCGCTTCGCTTCTCGCTTTAAGCGAAAAGGGGCTTGTCGTTTTTTCTCGCTTCACGTTCTTCACAACACTGGTTGAATCCCCGTGACTTAAAGAAGATTCTACTGTAGCGGCAAAGGGGGTTCAAAAATTAATTTAGGTCACATGTTTAAATCCAACGAGGGACATTCTAGTATTTTTCCGAATACCCTTTCATAAATTCCTAGCTCCACCACTGTAATATACTAATAAAATATTTTTCTGGAGTTCCCACACGACTCTCAACTCTTAATTAGTAAGTCAGGCTCACCAACAAGCCTAAATTCAATGAGAAAGATTCCACTATTTTCTTTGATCACCTCATCAGGCACCCAAGGAAAATGTCAAAACAATGAAAAATAAGCTATATGAATCAATCCCCCAAAAAAAAAAAAAAATTATCTTCTTTCGATATTCCTGACCTGAGCTAGTTCATGTAACTTAGTAAAATGGACATCTACCAGCAATGACTCCACCACTGATTCGTCACTATTTAACGGCCCAAATCTACTTATTATGTTGGCTGCAATGTCCTTAAAGCTATAATCCATAACCAGGAGCTCCTAACCAGAAAATCTATACCCACATGCTTATCCAAAGTTGAATTATAAGAAAGTCAGAATCCAACAGAACTACTCTCCAAGTTGTAAACCTGAAAAATAAATAGCACCGGCAAACAGCAGAAGTAATTAATCACGAAGCTATTTGAACTATTTCATACCTTAGGAGGTTTGAATGGATAATCAGGAGGAAAATGTATAGTAACTAGGAATACACCACCGGTATAAGGGCTGTCTGGGGGACCCATAATTGTGGCCTGCCAATGGAACATGTCCTCTCCAACGGGGCCTGTTACCACAATCCACATGGTACAAAGGTAAGGAAGATAATATCAGTCAATGATGAACCACATAGCACATACATCCCTTATACAAATACAACAACAATTGCACCTCAATCCCAAGCAAGTTGGGTCGGCTACATGAATCCTCACTAATCATGTTATTCCATTTAAGTTACTTAGACCCATATTATCAACAATAAAAACCTCCCTTATACAGATGCAAAGAATACTTACACAACCTCTTGTTCAGAATTAACAAGGCCCTACCAACCACTAAATTCTTACAAGGTTCTCTAGTGGAATATCTCCATAGGACATAATAAGTTGAAGACTCAACTGGCAACAAGAGTTGCATTTCAAGAGAAGTAGAAAGCACTTTAATAAGCTTAATGCAATGGGATGACAATGTAGGCAAAGAATTCTCATTGAAAGACATCTAGTCAGGGACTACTTTTTATGAGCAAGACTTCAATATTAATAAATTACACTATATTATCAAAAAAAGGACTTCAATGTGAATGCATGGTTCTCCATCACCAAATACGAGAACAAAAACAAAGTGGGAGTACCGAACAGAATGAATGACTACTGACACACTTCCAAGCTCTAACAAAAACAAAGTGGGAGCAACACTTCCAAGCTCTAACTAAAGGTGGCAAAGAGGTGTTGGATTTAACATAGTTTATGTTAAGTATAGAAAGAATGAAAGGCAGAATGGAACAACTTGCACGGATGCTAATGAACAGGGGCAAAAATACGAAAGTAGATACATTTTTTTAAGAAAAATTATTGTATATAGGGGGTAGAGGAAGGGAAACTAGGGGAGGTAATACCAAAATGGGGAATCGAACCCTCACCAATAAGGTGAAAGTTCAGGTAGCCAACCAACTGAGCTACTAAGATTCCCCAAAGTAGATATATAATATTGAGCGTGATAGGACAAACAAAAATCAGAAAATGACAATGACAGAATGGCATATGATTGAGTGATAGATTGATTGGCGAAGGAAGAATAAAGAATGAAACTTTACCCACAAAACTTTCTTTCACTAGCATCACATTATATTAAAAGTATCAAAACTATTCAACTGACAGACAGATCCCTGGGAGACAAATAACCATAGAGGAGGAATTCTTAAACATTTGCTGTCTATATGTCTCCAAAATAAAGAGAATATAGCGTTACTGTTTGATATGGATACAAAACAGTTAATACAATTCAATTTTCTCCCGATATAATGTTGTATCAGCATTCAACAATTTATCCAGCAAGTTAACTCTAACTTAAATCCTACAAAATCGGGCACCCTCGTTTTGTGCTTAAATCGTAGCTCATCTTGATTATGGTAACACAATGAGCCATAATAAAAATCAAATACCACAACAAGGTATAAACAGCGCAAACCATCTCAGGAACGTTTAGCCTAAACTTTTTTTCTGATCTAGATGCAAATAAATCAGTTTCTTCACTAATTTAAAATTTAACGTAATTTGATTGGCAAGTACGAAACAATAGATATTTACATAAAACAATGACACGACGACGAACATGAAAAAGAGAAGGATACCGGCGCTGCAAGAGGTAGGAGGATCCCTCTGGAGATCCTTGAGCTCCTTCAAAATCCGTTTCGAAGCCATCACTCAGAGACCGAGATCGAATCTGATATAACGAAAAACAACGCGAGAAAACCTAGATCAGATGCAAAAATTCACGAGAAGACAGCAAAATATGCGAAGAATTATATATATGTAGAAACAGAGGCGTGAAGAACCTGAATAGAGAATTATTGGGAATAGAAGAATTTGATTCTTGGTTTCGTAGAATTGCTGGCTCTTAACGCGAACAACCCCCTTTCCCCAGTGGCCAATATAGTAATTGTTGCACCTTTCGTCTAAAGTTCGGAAGTCCAATCATTTAATTTTCATCTCATACCAAATATGGATTCTTTATAATATAATACATAGTTATAACTATATGTGAATATATTTTTTTAATATCGGGGTGAAATAAGAAACTATTAAACTTCCTAAATAAGACAACTGAGTAAAATGAGTTGTCAAACTAGAGGCTACCGGGATAAGATAGTACAAGGTTTAATTCTTCTTGAATTATAGGTGTGTTAAACTTACCTATTAAAGCGTATAATTTAGTGGTCAATAAATTATATGATATTAATGTATAGGCGGAATACATATACTGTTCGCTTTAACCTAGCTACTTCAATTAAGCCTTGTACCTATTAGATACTTTAACCTCATTCAATGTATATCTATTAAACACAATAAGCTGACATGGCAAAAAAAAAAATTCTCACGCCCCTTTAGGCGCGTGGGTATGTCCAAAATCATACTTTTTTCTTTTTTTTATTTCTAAAAAAATCACATTTTTCCATTTGTAGGTCCCCCCTTCTCCTAATGGTTAATAAGAAGAAAACTGCTTCTCGTCACCACCATCGCTGGTCGACCACCATTAACGGAGAACTACCTCTCACTAACTTTTTTTGCTCATCCTTTGATTGTAAAGAGAAACAAAAGAAGTTGACTGGACAATAGCTTTCCGGCGAAGGCTTGAACAAGGAATTCTGCCTTTGGACATTTTTTAGATTTCATATATATTATTAAACTAGTTCCAGTGATTCAACCTTGTGAATATGTTACTCTAACAAAGAAAATGGTTTCCGTTGAACGTTATTTCCAAGAAGGCAAGATTCGATTTTGTCGGCGGCAAAATTTCTCCGACGACGTCGACCTCTCTCTTCAACGACCAAAAACAAAAGCAGTGAATGCCATGACACTCCAACACACAAGTTGTTCAAAGTCTTCCAAACAAGTCTAGCTAAGTTTTGCCATTATAAATATTTCTGTAGAAAAAAAATTAAAAAGAAAAGTACTTGTTCGAAGATGGCAGGAAAAAATGGGTTTGAATCAATGGCTGGGAATGGACAAAAATGACAAAATCCTTCCATTGATTTGCAACCTTTAATTTGTCTGGTAGAGTTGTTATGGAGAAATGGGTGATATTTTGGGTGAAAATGGAGATGAAAAGTGGATTTAGTGTGGTTGAAGAAGATGACGGGAAGAAGTGGTTGGAGGGGAAAGTTTCAAATTTTTTGTTGTGGAAAAGATTTTTCTAAAGTTAATTTTCCGTATGTCACATTCTAATTCGTCATTCTTGCCAAGTCAGTGAGTTTGAAAGTCACGCACCTTATATCTATGAGAGATTGTCAGCTATGTATTTAATAGATACACATTGAATGAGGTTGAAGTATCTAATGGGTACAAGGCTTAATTGAAGTAGTTAGGTTAAAATATTGGACAAGTTTAAGGAACCGTATATATATTCCGCCTAATATATATACTGTGGGAGGTAGCAACTAAGTTGACTCAAATACCAACAATATTTGAAAAAAGAAGTATTGTGTGAAGCAAAAGATGTCAATTTGGACTAATTGGTATGCTATCAACATCGCGAAAAAGCGATCACAAAAACTACAACTACTCTCTATATTCTAAATTGTTTGCGATAATTATAATCTGCACGAATCATCTTAATCTGTTTTGTTTATTCGAGTTCATTTCAATATTTAATAATTTGCTTTTTAAGAAAACATAATGATAAATTATGAGTTCTCTAAATTTAAAAATACATTGGATCCTAAACTTAACGGTATACTAAACGAGTTTCTAGATTCTAACAAGTCCCGGTTGAAGCGTAAGGCAAGTAAAGCAAGGGTTTTAGGCCCCAAAATTTTAGGGGCTCCATTTTACACTAGTAGTAGATTTATGAAAATTTGTTATAAAATAATAAAAGAAGAAGAAGAGCATTATAGAGAAAAGGAGAGAGAGAGAGAGAGAGAGAGAGAGAGAGAGAGAGAAAATTTTTATTGATTTGGGATGAATTACAATGGAATAGGACACCTCTGTTTATAGGGAAAGAGTGACTTAGTCACCAAGTAAAATCCCTAAAATCTCTTTAAAATATAGACATTCACCTTAAATACAATTCTATTTATAACACTCCCACTTGAATGTCTATTCAACGGATAATGTGCCTCGTTAAAACCTTAATTAGAATAAAATTAAGTGGGAAAAAAATTTAGAAAAGGAAAAAGAGTTCACATGTTTAGAAATACGCTTTTTGGTTTTCTCGTTAAAAACCTTGCAAGAAAAATCCAGCGGGACAAAATCTTGTAAGGGAAAAAGAGCACAACGCGTATTAACTTCCCCTGACGAGAGCATTAATTCACATCCTTGAGCCTTCGCATTTCAGTCTTGTGCACTATTTTCAAAATATCGTTGGTAGAGATTTGATAAACAAATCAGTCATATTAATTTGAATGAACATCATTATTGATAGATATATAATGTCTTCATAAACTACCGTGGAATGGCCTTTTCAATATCTCCATAGAGGTAAAAAAATTTCGCTATCACACTACCATGCTTATAGTTGTAGCAAGATATATTTGTGCATAAATTGCACTGAGGATATGGTACTTCAAGATCAAGAATTGTATATACTTCAAGCAATTGAAATCCTTCAGGGATTATCATATAAGTATATTCAAATAAGCCATATAAATAGACTTTAGATGCATATCAAGTTTTCATGTCATGTTAGACATATAAAATAGATAAAAGTGATTGCACACACCATTAACTTTATACTTTCAAGTGTTTGAACTACATGTCCAAAACTACATGTCTTTCATATGAAACCAATTCATTGTTTCTCCAAACTTAAGATCTTCATATATATTTAGCGTTATTATAGATGTCGTCGACAAACATTGTATATCGGTTCCAACCTCCTTATTTTTCATAAAGACATAAAATAGAGATCTCTTCATTCATATATTCAGGTACCTCAATCTCTCATGAGATTTTATGAAGTGTTATGTCATGTGATCTTCTAGATCACTTGCCTCCTTTATGATCATTTTGATCATTTGCTCATCTTCTTTATCAAAAAGTTTATTTGAAACCGATTTGTCTATATGCTTTAAGCGTATCATATAGTTTGTCCTTATAGGACTTAATAGGAGCATTTGCAATGAGAATATAGTTACTTTCTTTGGGTCAGCAAATGTGTCTGGCATGCTTTGCAATATATTGCAAATGAATTGTCTTTTTTTTTTTATGAACTTCAAGTTCATATTATCTTATTTGAGGATCTAGATGTGCAAATGATAATTCATTCCACGTAACTTTTTCTCAACTATTTATCATGTCTCCCCTTCATGTTAGAAAAACTAACTTACTTTTTGAACTTTGAAAACCCACATATGTTGCGTTATGGTGTTAATTAAAATATACACCGCACATCAATAATAATAAGATGAAATTATTTGGTTCCTGACCTCGAACCACTTGTGAGGGGAGAATGTAATATACTTTCGTATATAACGTATATCAAACTGATATACATAACTTTGCTCTCATAAGCAATAGTTTAGCTATTAAGCGGAGGTACTCAATAATTATTTTGCTAAATTAATTGTGATGTAAACCAACTTATCAAGATAAACTGTCTAGAATAGAAAATATAAAAATTATGCTCGAAATTAAATTACGGAGCAAGTTACCTCGCAAACATCGGCCATGTTGCGGGTTAATAATAATCGCACATGTAACCATCTCATAGATGTATCTTATGTGGTATACATGAAAGGTGAATGGGATCATATTCACCTTTAATATTTCCAGCATTCATGGGATTCAATCCCAATTTTAGTTGGTCTATTAATTAATAAGAACAAGCAACATAAGAGAATTCGTAAAGAACTTTTTAGTTCTTTAATATCTACCCATGTAAATTCTCTTTTATTTTTGCACATCATACTCTAATTAACATGGCTAAACCAATTATGCCAACTGAATAAATTATCAATATTGATAAACTTTAGGTTTACACCATGACGTGTGCAATTATGAATAAACTCCAAGTTTATTATGATATGGGTTTTTATATCAATAAACTTCTACTTTATTGTGACATTCTTTTGTTTATGTAGTACAAATTGGAGAATAAAGCGGGTAGCTTTTCACATACATATTACACCGCTATAAGTTGTAATAATAGAAGATATTAAATCTTTCATTTCTTTATAGTCTCAATATAACCAATCGCTTTCGCGAATACTTTAGAAACTAAATAAGTTTCTAAAGAGACTTACTACAACATAATGCCTTATTGATAATCAATTTTGTTCCTCCAAAATAGTAATAACTGGCTCTTCCAGAGCTCTTAATTAATTTTGTACTACCACATACTCATCAACATCCATATGGTGAATATCTCTTTTAAAGAGAAAGTTATACCATTATGGTTATGGTCAAAATTATATGCAAGATCTGTTTCTTGCATTACCGTTATTTTTTAATAATCACAATACCAAAATATTTTGGCGTACGATAAGTACGTGACCAGTGACCATTTATGCCATAATAATGACATTATTTTCTTATTTCCTCTCAAACCTTCTTCTAGAGGTGAGTGTGGTATATACCACTAGCACGCTCATATTCTTCTAAAAATGAATATGTATTCATAAATCACATGTTGTCACATTCGCATCATGAATGGACCATAATCATCTATATGTGCTTTAAAAAATCTCATGTCAAATCGATGACAAATATTACTTTCACATAGTGAAGGAATATTTTGAGAATACTTATTGTTCTCATTACCACAACGATGATGATTATAATTTCGTCTATTGCCACATCCACATCCATTGAAACATTCATGGTAATAATTTTATTTTCTTTCAAGCGTATCACATACTGCTATCACATTCTCTTAAGGGAATGAGAATGAAGCAAATTCAATGGAACGGTTTTTCCACTTCTTGTGATCATAATCATACATTAATTTGATCATGGCGAGACATATAAATTTTACCACATTGG